TTTTGTAGAGCCTCTTAACGTCGGCAACAGAACCGACAGCGGATAACACATTTTTCAAATTAACTCTCCAAGGAAAATTAAGAGTTTTATCACCATATATACATCTCTGGACTGATTACTCCATACTTTTACCATGTCCAAACTGACCCAAAAGAGTTGCATGCTGTCAAAAATTTGTGGCATCTCTTCAAAAATTTCTAGAATAAAAAGACCTAGTTACTAACATCTAATAATGTTTATTGAAATAATGCTGAAATACATAACCTGCACATTGCTAAGTTAGATGTTATGTTGCTTTTGAGCCAGAAAAGCATCAAAAACACATTAGATGAGAAACATCAAAGTAATATAGAGAAATGTTATCAGGTTTGTTCCACCAAGGCCATAAAGTCCATTTTTGATTTTGAAAAAAGACAAGTCAGTAAATGTTCAACTGTTGTTTACTGACCAGAAGATAAATCATAAATCCTTGTTTCCAGGTCAGAAAAAAATCAAGTTTTTGAAATTCTGGAAACTCTGTATTATACTCCATACTCTCAAAACCTTTATGCAGATAAAGAAAAAAGATGATATACTTGCCACATAATACAGTATAATTAAAACCTTTCCAAAAATACAAGCGTTGCCACACTTTGAAATCATTTGATTGACTGTGCAATAATTTTGGCTGTCTACAATTGTTAAAGAGCTTCATATACAAGTAAAAGTAAAATTGTCTCCACAATTAAACTGTTGCACAAACTGAGTGCATGTTAAATTATAAACTTTGTTTTATTTTGAGTTATAAAAAGAACTGCTGCTAACTTTTCTTTGCCATATTCCTAAAACAGTTCTTAGGAGCAAACTGATGCAATGTTGAAGAGTGTTATTTTGGCTTTTCAAATATCCCTTAAAAACTTTTCCCTAAACTACAAGCATATACATGGAAGTCAAGAGCATCGTATCTACTAAAGGCAATCAAAAGGGACTAATGGAATGAACTTAATTCAAGGGGGCTGTAATACAAAAAGCAGAGCATATTGGGCTTCTGTGGTACAATATATGAGTATGGCCCCAACTCGATTTAAATTATCATTTTCCAAAACTGACTGAGGGTTGACCTTATAGAGGTTTATAAAATCAAGAGGGGCATAGATATGGTGAAGAGCCAATGTCCTTTTCCCAAGGTGGGGAGTCCAAATCTAGACAGCATAGGTTTAAGGTGAGAGGGTAAAGATTTGAAAAAGGATCTGAGGGGTAGCTTTTTCACACAGAGGGTGGTGCGTGTATTGAACAAGCTGCGAGAGAAAGGTAGGTACAATTACAACATTTAAAAGTCACCTGGATGGGTATATGAATAGGAAGAGTTTAAAGGAATATGGACCAAATGCTGGTTAATAAGACTAGGTCAGATTGGAATGTCTGGTCAGCATGGATGTATTGGACAGAAGGGTCTGTTTACATGCTGTATGACTCTGACACTAAATCAGTTACTTCACACAGAAACCAAAATGCACGAAATGTCTAAACAACCTACTATTCATAAGAAGCCAAATTTTATTGTGCAGCCACATGAGCAACTAAGATTTAATGAAACAGATTAATATATTCTGTATACATAGTATAACACGGTCCTTATAAGGAATGAATTCATCTGAATCACAATCACCAATCCCAGGACATTTACTATTACAAAAACAGCATAAGTATTTCCTAATTGTCACATTTCTCCTTTCCAATATCACAGAATTTTTTAAATCATATTGTACTATGACAAAGTGCAAGAGGGCATAATTGGTTGGGAGCATGGAGGAAATGCAAAACACATGGAATGGATACACAACCAGATGTATGAAAAGAGAAATGGAGAAAGGAGAGCAGCGGAGAGCGAGACACGTGACTGCTGGATGGATAAACAGACAGACAGATAACAACCAATATGATAGGAGAGAGAATTTAAAAAAGGAAAATTTCAGAAGAAATATGCAAGATTTTTCAGTATAGATTCACTCATCTATATTGTAAATAGTTTCAGCACATAGGACATTATACTAAAAACTCATACTGGCAATACCTGTTACTCATTCAAGTAGTTACGTAATAGGTCTTTTCACCATTAAAAAGGTGCATTGCATAGTGTGACACAAAGTTGCTATTATATATAGGGATAAGTAACACTAAGGTTAAAAAAAGAATTGCTACTGAGACTGACAAATGATTCAAAATGCTCCAAGTTCTTTGTTACATACCATACTTCCCTGTCAGGCATCCAATTTCTAATTTCCAAAATGCAATTATATAGACTACAAACAGATTTCACAAGCTGATTAAAAAAATTACAAATTGAACCTTATAAAAGTCCCCTTCAAATTTTCAGTTTATTCTAAATGCTGGGCCCCAATTTGAACTCTAATGTCAAATTAACTACAATCATGCAATCTCATCATGCAATGTGTACCCACTCTCCCAGTATGCATCAGTGCCAGCTAGCTGAATAGTTTGCTATAACTTCCAGTAGTTTGCGCTCAGTTTTTCACAAAATTGCTTTGTAAAGTAAATACCTTTAAAATATACTACATTGAATGCCTTTTTAAAATAAAAACGTTTACAAGGATGATACAGCAATCTGGAGGGATTAAGTTCAAGATCGAAAAGGCTGGGTCTTTTCTCTGAAAGAATGAGCATGGCTTGACAGGAGACTAAGATTCTGTAAGGATAGACTGGTGAACATACAAAACATGTTTCCACTTGTGGAAACGACAAAAACTATGGGGCTGTAGTCATTTGACAGTCATAAATAAAACCAATAGACAATTCAGGGTAGAAAAAAAGACAGTGGCAAGAATGTGGAGTTTCCTACCCACTATAAGGAGTAGTTAGTTAAAGAACAAATTTATTTCATGAAAAACAAGATAAATACTTATGAAAGGAGTATAAGAATACATTGATAGATAAGAAAGAGTGTGAAGAAGCTCGCGTATATCATTAACACACACATGAAATAATTGGCCCAAATATTTATTTTGCTTGCTACATGCCACATAAACTGGGGGGCATTTAAAAAAAGGAAAGGCAGCTCATGAGTGAAAGCAGGGGATAACACAAGAGAATGTAGATGCCCCTAAAGAAGAGTAATAAGACACATCATTGATTTTCTGTAGATGGTGAGCCCAAAGGACTCAATAACCTCAAGTGCAAGAACAGGAATATCTTTCACAAGGGATCCACATGACAGATAATCTTCACATTGTTAGCTCCCCGTTATGCTAATTTTCAAATTTTCATGGTTTTACCTAATAAAGGTTTCCCTCAACTGAGATGCCATATCAAAGGTTTTGTGCCATCAAAAGGAGTAGATTCCTCTTTGCACTGGCCTGCCAATTCCAAAAAAAATCACCATTGTTTCAAAGGCCAAAATCATTTTATATTACTAAAATAGATGATTATCCTTCATTGGAATCCATAATTTGCTTACCAGCAGAAATACAATAGTGCTCATACTAATGACTTTTGTCTCTGATTGCAAACAGTCCAGAGGGCCAAAAAAATCAGCTCATTTGAGTAGCAATATCAGACACTTCTAACTAGCTAATGGAAATGGGGAATATTGGTTGCCACTGGCACCAATTTTAAAAATTCCCTCTATAACTTTGCTCAACTCTCATTGGTGCAATTTTATCTCAAAATGATTGTTTCACGTGCAAATAAATTGAGTAGCCATACAAAATGTACTTTTTAAGTTACTGAACATGTTACAAAACATAATACTTAGATTGCAAAAACTAATGTCAAGATGGAACGTAGTGATTCCAGATTTAGTGGCTAATCACTAAAGCATGAGTCCATATAAACTGTGACATCAAATTAAGTCCAAAATTAAAATTACCTATAATTAACAGCTAACTGTAAGATATTGATAAATGCCAAGATATTCTACATAATTAAAGTCAGTGGTGCTCCTGGAGTGTGTGCCACTTAATTATTGATTAGTCAGTTAACTTAAACAATGGAACTATAATTTTTAAAAAGCAAATGGTGAGTACTTTTGCAGACAATTGTTTAATTGACAATGCCACGATCTTGACCATTTAAGATTTAAGACACATACACCTGCTCCGCAGCATTATGCAAACAGTTCCCACAGTATGTTAACTAAAATATACGCTAAGTATCCTAAATACAAGTGTTTTACACAAACTAAAATGTTCTTGTTGATATGCTAAAGGTAAACTACAGTTCATAGTCGCAAGATATAGGTAAGCATCTTAATCGTACCTTCAGAAATATTGGCCCCTTAAGAAATTGGTAGACAACGTTCACCATTTATCATCTATGCTATTACACTGAAACAATCAAGCAAAATTACTTTCAGAGCAGTAGTAGTATTCTAATATTTTTAAAAGATTAAATATACAAATCTACCTACACAATTTCTCCAACATGCCCCCTAACAATGCAGCGCCGGTCGTGATTAGACACGATTAAACAGTCCGCCATTTTACGGAGCACGAACAAACTCATTATCATTCGGATTATGGTGATCGGATTACAGCAGAGGAAATTTGGTAATATTGCCCATGCATCACTCATATATAATTCATTACAACTACAATTCCAAACATAGTATTAAATTATCGTAACATTGCATACACCAAATGTTCGCAATAGATAAAACACATCTAATTCCGTTTTAGTCACCGCCGTATATAAACCTAACAACCAGTTTGGTTCGCTTTCCAAATTAAAAGTCAAACTATTATCAACGCACAGGACGGTCATCGCGGGGTCAGACAAGTCAACACCACCTACCAAGCCCAACAAAAATCATTTACCTTCACTGCCAAGCTTCACCTGGCCTGGAGAGGGCAAAAATTACTAAATTTTCAGTGTAGTTTAAGAAAGCATTAGACAGCTAATCACAACCGTTTACAATACGCTCACATGTTTCCAAAAGCCACATGCTTCCTGATTTCAAAATATACCATGCCAGTAGAATAACAATGGAAGTATTTTGAATTTACCAGATTGGAATTGGTTGCATTCGAGTCGTCCTCAGGGAAAGGTATGTAGACGGCTAAGGCCACACAATTAGCGAAAATAGTTAGGAGAATAATTATTTCGAAGGGCCTGAGGCTGAGAGTTAAAGAACTGTTGTAATTAGAAAAAAAAATCACAATCCGAAAGCAAAGATTTACATCTTATTTGTTTCAAGTTAGATATAATGCAAGGAGTGCAATTTGAAATTCAACAGAACGTCCCAAATACGAGAAAGGCACGGGCACGTTCCGTTTTGAGATAATACAAGATTGTTTTTAAAGTAAAAGAAATGGCTCCGACAGGAATCTGTTACATTTTATATGCGCGTGAATGTTTTTAGAATAAAAGGATTATTCTTGTGAAATGTACGTTTGGAAATCAAGTTTGAAAATAAAAGTTAACGGTTGTATTCCCATAAATATCAACGTCCATTCATTGTCAGAGCACTCCCAGTGAACGTATGAGGATATGAATATGCCCTGCCTCGTTTTATTCCAACCAAGTCATAGCCAGAAAAAGAATTTGTTCTCGGCGACTTCCTATTTCTCATCTATGTGCTGCTCCGCCGCAAAGACCACCCAAAATACGTAACAATTGACATGTACGCTGAGAATACCGAGTTCTACATTTATCTCTCTGCTTGTTCAACATTCAGCGCTGAATTAGAACTTTCCTTTAATTAAATATGGGAAGTTATCTTCTCCAGTCATACCACAGATTCGATTTGCCAACTCCATGCCTTGGTGGGTGGGCTGAAGAAAGGGATATAGGCTAATTCAATTTGTTTCCGATCTTGCACTACACTGAACTTGCAAACTCTTATCCTTTCTACCATGAAGATCTCGGTAACATCGGTACTAAGCTCACGTGTTGCTGAACCTCATTCCTACTTTAGCCACCTTTTAACGTGACTGTTCCAATGCCCACCCCCATTTTGTATGTTTCATATGCTTAAGATCATTCAAGATTCTGCTGCAGGATTCCTAATCCGCACTAAATTCCATTCTTTTATTAGCTCCGTGTCTTGCTTTACTGCATTGGCTCTCAATTTTAGAAATCCAATCCTTGCTTTCGCATTCCTCCCAGGTTTGGTCACCTAGCCAAATATCTCACCAGTGTCTACGTATAAGATTTAGTTAGATGACCTTCGTTGGAATGTTTATTGAGTTAAAAGACTTTGCAAATATCATGTGTTGGAGCAAAAAAAGGTTCTCTGACTCGTACTCCCCATTTCTTGAACGTGTCTGTATTTTGCATTTACATGTATAGTTATTGCAATCTAGCTGTACCTATTGCATCTGCACACCTTTAATACCTGCAAACCTTTTTATGATATTTAACTGGTCGCGATTTTGAATATTTTCATATTTTAAAGGATATTTCCATTCGACAATATTGATACATGCTCGCCTCAAAGGGTTTTTGAGAGTCAAGCAGAAGAGAGCCCGTGGTGGACGTGTGGTCGCGGCGCTAGCTTGTTTTTTCTGCTTGCTATACTGTTGCCTTTTCCTTTGGGTTGAGTTGGCCGTAGAGACCATGTTGTTGCCCATCATCGCAGCGGCTTTGGCTTGTCTGGCCGCGTCGATGGCTGCCTGCCACGACAAGGCAGCTCCAGGACTTGGGATGTGCTCTGGAGCCAGACCGTCCGTCCTGGTATTTGAAAGGCCATGGGCAAATACAGCTCGGCTGCTACCATAGTTGGCGCCTGGAATAAAGAAATACTTTAGCCATGTATATACTATAAAATGTAGCCTCCAGTATTCCTTTCTCCAAATACTTGCTGCCAATCCCTGATAATTCTTAGATTTTCAAGCAAAACAAGTCTTAGTAAATTCGAATCAAAACAGTTAAGAATATTGCAATCACAGATAAATGTATATAAAACGATTACAATACAGAATATTATTCAGAATTTTAAATATTCCAAGATTTGAGATTAAAAGGAAAAACTGCAACCTGAAATAATGACTTCACAGATGGTGGAGCCATTTCCTTCGCGAATGCTAACAGAAAAACTGAAGAAAAAAAACATCTCCGTCCATAGTTCAAGAAATAATGATTCATCCGGGAGCTCGATCAAAAAAAGCCAAATTTAGATATCGTTCGTACTAGCTTTACGATACCATCTCCAAATATCATCCATATAGAATTATGGTATTTAACCATAAATAGAGCATTTCCTTAAAAAAAACGCCCGGACAACTTGATCGCATGTTAATTTCATGTGCAATACATGTGCAGCAGCACTGCTTCGAACGAATGTTTCATCATGTTAATATTTGCGGGGAAAAAGTGTAAAACGGCGCATAAAACATATTATTCTCCCAAACTGCCTGTTAAATATCGCTATACAGCCCAAACGCCCACCGGTTACATTTAAGGAAATAAGATTTGTGATGGTCCTCTTTCTCTCTCTTCCCCATTCCTCTGTTTTCACGGTACTTACCTTGATGGTTTTCCTCGGGAATATACATCCTCTCCTTTTCATTCACCATTTAAATACGCCAATTTTTTTGTTCCACAAACGGCGATTACCTGATCCCCATTATTACAATAAAACGCAAGTAACTGATCCTCTATACCTCCCTCTTTCTCACAGCACATCCTGACTACATCCGGGGCTTCACAGAGAGTACATCATACACATTCCAAGCTCGCTTTCACTCTGTTCAGTGGATATTATGGGAGGAGGGAAAATATCCAGGGCAACTCTCTGAGGGTTAAATCCTGTCTTTCAGTATATAACTAAGGAATGGTTAAAAAGGGAGAGGGGTGGGGTGATGACCTAATGAAGCGTGGAAAATAGACGGAGAAAAGAAAACATGCAGTCTTGCAGGCCATTCCTTGCGAACGCTGGAAGAGTTCCCTGAGCGCTATCTCCTGACTGTTTCCAGATGTTCTTACGTGTAAAATAAACTAAGCACATTTTTTTGTCTCCAGAGCCTGGAAACAGTTTATGGAATCATGACGTAAAATAAGCAAGTGGACAATGTCTCCCTAAGCCAAAAAAAACAAAAAACTCATGCCAATTGTTTCCCTTTTTTGGCTTAATTGCTCTTTTACTCAACTTGTTGATATCTTGTATTGCGTGTCGGAAGCTTATAGAAAGCCACAAATATTTCTTTCTCATCCTATCGATTTATTTTGAATAAAAGATTCGAATACATACATTTTGCATTAAGTCGTAGAGAACAAAAATGTGCCGTTGCCTTTTGGTTAGTATAAACCATAGAACAAAATAGCGTTACATTATAATGAAAAAAAATCTAGAATTCAAAACTAAAGGAAAAGATATGGATATCTGTAAATTAGCCATATAATTGGAAAGGTCATTACTATCCTTTAAAAACTTAGTTGTCCTGAGCTGTGAATTCAATTTAAGCAAAGGTGTTGTCACGCGGTCATGGTTAATGAAGAAATTTTATCTCTAAACGAAGACAAGCAAACTGGAAGCAACAACAGCTGTTTAGGCCCCGGAAATGCTCGAAGTAATTATGACTGTTATTTTCAAATTAGTAAGAAACCAAATAAATATCTGGGTGGAATCAAATAAAGTTTGGTAAATTGTATTCTTGCTCGTTATAGATAATTTTATTAGTAAATTAAACTTGAAACAGGTAGAAATGAGTTTAAACCTTCAGTTATTTTGCACAGCTAAATATATTTTTACTTCACAACCAATCAAGTGTAAATAAATGCATTGGGATAGGAACCCAAAGTTTGGTGACAAACTCCACCAGATTGTAAATTTTATCACAATTTAGGTATAACCTCACTTAATTACACCCTTTCATATATTCCAGGAAATCGATATTCTATAATGTCACCACACTGCCTGTACTGCTACTTCTAGTTATTTATTTAAATAGCAGTTGCTTACCTGTTTCTAATGCTAGCTGAATAATCTTTACTGCTAAGCTATTTTGTTGCACTGTTCAGTTTGGAAGTTTATGTTCTTGTGTGAATTTTAAAGGTACCTGTTTCTAATGCTAGCTGAATAATCTTTACTGCTAAGCTATTTTGTTGCACTGTTCAGTTTGGAAGTTTATGTTTTTGTTTGAATTTTAAAGGTACCTGTTTCTAATGCTAGCTGAATAATCTTTACTGCTAAGCTATTTTGTTGCACTGTTCAGTTTGGAAGTTTATGTTTTTGTTTGAATTTTAAAGGTAATAGTATTTTTTAATCCATGTCATGTGTTAGGATAATTTACTTAACCAATCATATATTTGAATTAGAGTATCTATCATGAATTTAGAATGAAATAACTAAACTATGAAAAGTCAGATTTATTATCCTCCATGTTCAACTAACCTACAAAAACAAGGTTAGTTTTTTTTTACATCTTGGAAGTTGTATTTTTTGAGAAGGGGAATTTAGTTATGGGATATGATGAAATGGCCGAGGCATTGAACAGGTATTTTGTATCGGTCTTCACAGTGGAGGACACTAATAACATGCCAGTAATTGACAAAGAGACGAAGGTAGGTGAGGACCTGGAAACAATCATTATTACGGAAGAGGTAGTATTGGGCAAGCTAATGGAGCTAAGGATTGATAAGTCTCCTGGCCCTGATGGAATGCATCCCAGGGTACTAAAAGAGATGGCGGGAGAAATAGCAGGTGCACTGGCGGTAATTTTCCAAAATTCGCTGGACTCTGGGGCAGTCCCAGCAGATTGGAAAACAGCAAATGTGATGCCACTGTTTAAAAAGGGAAGTAGACAAAAGATGGGGAATTATAGACCTTTTAGCTTAACCTCTGTAGTGGGGAAGGTCCTTGAGTCTATTATCAAGGAAGAAATAGCAAGGCATCTTGATAGAAATTGTCCCGTTGGGCAGACGCAGCATGGGTTCATGAAGGGCAGGTCATGCTTGACAAATCTTTTGGAATTCTATGAAGACATTACGAGCATGGTGGACAATGGGGACCCAGTGGATGTGGTGTACCTAGATGTCCAAAAGGCCTTCGACAAGGTGCCGCACCAGAGGCTACTGCATAAGATAAGGATGCATGGCGTTAAGGGTAGAGTATTAGCATGGATAGAGGATTGGTTGACTAACAGGAAGCAAAGAGTGGAGATAAATGAGTGCTATTCTACGTGGCAGTCAGTGACTAGTGGTGTGCCTCAGGGATCAGTGTTGGGACCGCAATTATTTACAATTTATATAGATGATTTAGAGTTGGGGACCACGTGTAGGGTGTCAAAGTTTGCAGATGACACTAGGATGAGTGGCAGAGCAAAGTGTGCAGAGGACTGTGAAACTTTGCAGAGGAACATAGATACATTGAGTGAGTGGGCAAAGGTCTGGCAGATGGAATACAATGTAAATAAATGTGAAGTCATACATTTTGCTAGGAGTAATAGTAAAAAGGATTATTACTTGAATGGTAAAAAGTTGCAACATGCTGCTATGCAGAGGGACCTGGGTGTCCTTGTGCATGAATCACAGAAGGTAGGTCTGCAGGTACAACAAGTAATTAGGAAGGCAAATGGAATTTTGTCCTTCATTGCTAAAGGGATTGAGATTAAAAGCAGAGAGGTTATGTTGCAGCTGTACAAGGTGCTGGTGAGGCCATACCTGGCGTACTGTGTGCAGTTTTGGTCTCCTTATTTGAGAAAGGATGTACTGGCACTGGAGGGGGTGCAAAGGAGGTTCACTAGGTTGATTCCGGAGTTGAGGGGGTTGGTTTATGAGGAGAGACTGAGTAGATTGGGATTATATTCATTGGAATTCAGAAGATTGAGGGGGGATCTTATAGAAACATATAAAATTATGAAGGGAATAGATAAGATAGAAGTAGAGAGAATCTTTCCACTGGCAGGTGAAGCTAGGACAAGAGGGCATAACCTCAAGATTAGAGGGAGCAGATTTCGGACTGAATTGAGAAGGAACTTCTTCACCCAGAGGGTTGTTAATCTATGGAATTCCTTGCCCAGTGAAGTAGTTGACGCTACTTCAGTAAACGTTTTTAAAGATAAGGTAGATTTTTTTTGAACAATGAAGGAATTAAGGGATACGGTAAGAACGCGGGTAAGTGGATCTGAGCCCACGAAAAGATCAGCCATGATCTTACTGTATGGCGGAGCAGGCTCAAAGGGCTGAACGGCCTACTCCTGCTCCTAGTTCTTATGTTCTTATGTCTTGAAGAAACTACAAATTACAGATGTATTAATCATGGGAGCAAAGAGAAAAGGCAGTTATTATTTTCGGCCTGAGATATACCCAAAGCATAGCATTGAGAGTTCAATCTTCCATTTCTTTTCAAGCTTCTTGAAAGTATGGAGAAAATCATAAAGTCCTTAAATCTACTAATGTGCCGTGTGAAATTATGCCATGTGTGAAAATGGCACAGATTGCACATTGGCAAGTTCTGCAAATACACAGCTCAGATCCCGGATGTTGTGTGAAAATTTATACATTTATTTATGATGTAAGACTTTTTTTTTAAAAAAGATCCACACCTTTTGGATCTGAAAAGTTTTGGTTACTGAGAAAAATAATTGAAGAAACATTTTGACTGATTTCAAATCAACTACTTTTTAAAATAATTCAAACTGAAGTTTAGGTTGTGATCTTGAAGTAAAACATTTAAAGAAAACATTAACAAACTTGTTTCCAATAGCAAATGAATTTCATAATAAATAAATGTGACCAATGCATTCTGAAAAATTTTTAAAAACTTGCATTTAAATAGCACCTTTCACATTCATCAGACTTCTCAATGTACTTTACAATCAATGGAATACTTTTTGAATGTATCCATCATTGAAGAGGCAGCCATTTTGCACATAGTAATCTCACACAAGCAATAATGTAATATTAAACAGACAAGCTGTTTGGGAATAAATGTTGGCTAGTATACTGGGAATAGCTCACCTGCTCTCCTTTGCAACATCTCACCTGATAAAGACAGCACCTCCAACATTGCAGCATTCCCTTAATGCAATTTCCACCTTGATTTTTGTGGTATCTTATAGAATGAGACTTGAGCCCACAACCTTGTGACTTAGGAGTGCAACCAACTGAGCCACAACTGAACTTCTTGCTGGGAAAAATAAAGCTACATGCTGCTTAGATAGCAATAGACTAAACCAGGTGGGGAAGCAAAGGAATCGCTGGGCACCAATATACAGATCACTAAAAATAAAAACAGGTTATAAGGCCATAAACAAAGAGGACTAGAACGGAAATGCAGTAAAATCACTTTGTTTGGAACTTTGGTTACAATTCAACTGGAATGCTGACATCATTCTGTGATACATATCATAAGAACATAGAGGCTTTGGAGAAGATGCAAAAATGACATACAAGGTTTGATATCAGAAATGAAAATTTATATACATGAGGATATATTGAAAAGGTGATGCTCTTTCTGCAACAAATAAAAAGCTGAGGGTGACTGAGTTTGCTCAGATATACATGGAGATTTTTGAAATAATGGAAGGGTTTGTTTGGTAATACAGGGAGAAACTGTTTCCATTTGTAGGAGAAAGCAAAAGGAAAATCTATAAAGTTAGTTATTAATAAACCAATAATGAATTCAGGAGAAACATGTTTACCTAAAGTGCAGCAGGAATCTGGAATGCATTACCACAAGGAGTAGTTGAAACAAATGGCAGAGGCATTGAAGGGAAGTTGGATTAGCATTAGGGTCATAGAGTTATACAGCACAGAAACAGACACTTCGGTCCAACTTGTCTATGCTGACTAGGTTTCCGAACTAGTCCCATCTGTCTGCGTTTGGCCATATCCCTCTAAACTTCTTCTATTCACGTACCTGTCCAGATGCCTTTCAAATATTGTAACTGTACCTGCATCTACCACTTCCTGCCCTCTAATTTTGAACTCCCCTACC